TCATGATCTGCACGAGACTTGCAATATGTTTTTAAAGCAGTATATACCTCCAACACTAACTAAAATTAATGGAAAGGAATACTTGCCTAATATAATGTGACATACTACACCACAGCTATACACATCGCATAATGGAGAGATTTTGCCAGAGAGAAGTTCAGGGGGATTATACCCCTCGGTTCTTGCAATTAAAGGTGCAGTGAAAAGGGTGCGTCCGGATTCAGACTTTGGAATTGCTAGAGCAAATCAGAAGTCCCCAATGACAGCATTGAAATCTTTATCCAATAAAACATTTTACAGAAATTAAAAAGTAGATAAATATGCAACTAACGATTTAATGTCTTGATAAATAATGGGCTTATCTCATGCATGGAGCTCAGCAACTCCACGGAAAACATCTTTTAGAATTGAAATGCGGCAATCCCTGGTTAATTTCCACTGCTGCATATAACCGCATTAGTCTATAATACATGTACATGTAAAAACATGTACTGTTAAAATGTCACTACAAACTTGTACTATATGTCTGAGACATATCATACAAATCATTAGGTACTGCTGATGGCAGAAGGATTTTTGAATTGCTCTTTATACTATGTGCATTTCATTCCTCTTTAATTTCATTCAACTCCTTTTCCAGTATGTGAGCCATGCAAAAGGCTTTAGTGTATCGTTTCATGGTGAAGGGTTCATTATTTTCATATATCCAACTTATTAAGCATAACTTAACCTTGTGAATCCATAAGTAAAGTGACCCATTCTCCATGTACCTAGACACGAGTGCTTTAAGTTCAGAATAAAAACAGTACCCCATAATTTCTAAAATGTTTTGGTGACAAAATCTAAAATAAAAAAAAACCATTTATTATAACAACTTGGCACTTCATCAATGCCTTCAATTCAGTCTCTATTTGTTGTGATTCTGAACTTCCTCGAGCCATGGCTTCTGATCCCTCCTGCAATTTATCAAAAGGCAACATCAAAAGCAAAAAACATTTTCATACCTTTGAAAGAACCTTCACTGCTGCTTTTGTACCAATGGATCTCAAGTCTTTTGCCAAATATACCCTACCATAGCCACCCTTTTAATTTCTCTACTTTTGTTGAAGTGATCTGTGGCTCAGATTATTTCTTCTAAAAAGAAATGAAGAGAGTCAACTAAAATGTGTAGAAGTAATTTATAAATCTAATCAAATAAAATTTTACATGTTGGAGGTGGAATAGACAAAATTTTATAACGAGGACGTGATGAAAATTGCTTAGAATGAATAGATTCTGTGATGTCACCATCAGAATAATCTGTAAACAAAAGTACTATAACATTAAGCATAAATTACATGCAAGTTTTTCTACCAGTCAAAGGCTGAAAAGAAACATCAAAATGAGCCGTTTCTTTGACATGTCCATCAACAGACACAGCACTTGAAAAGTAAAGGGTCATTATTATATATTACGGGAGTTGATGGATACTCTTTCTCTGGATTGTTCAAACACTGCCAGTTATAGGTGCAATTAGGATGACTTGGACTTAGTGCAACAATAGGAGTAAACTTTAAGGAGGAAAGGATGGGCTTTGTGCAACTGGTGAAGCAAAATGGAGTAGCTCCTTTAAATATTTTTAAAAATGAGTAATATCATTAATAAACATTACCTTTAGACACAGGAGTAATCAAGCCAGTACTGCTATCACGCTTTAAACAGGTATTTTTCTAGAAGGATCTGTTAAAAAATGAAACAATGGAATAAATAATAAAGACTTACCATTGTCCTTCAGTAAAACTATGAAAATTAATCTATAAAATGCTTGCTCAGGAATAAATTCATTTATAGCATTTTTAGCTCCGTTTCCCACACTTCACGGGTAATAAGAATTATACAATCTTCGGAAGAGTAATACACTAAGAAAAGGTAATACAAAAACAAATTTTATTGATCAAACTTTGTAATCCATCATTGTTGGAGGCTTCATAAGCTACATAATTATATAAATAATTTACAATTTATAATGATATACCTTGATATTCTATATCATTAGTTGAGGACTTGCTATCAACCTTCCTTCCACTGACTAAAATTTGAGAATACATATAAAATAGCAATGTTGAAAATATTATACTACTGATACCATTCTGATCAGCTGCTGCCTTTCTCAAGGGCTCTGTGTTCGTATGAGTACTACTACTGACTAAATCACAATAGTATTGTCAACTGAGTATAAATAAGTTTTCTACCATACCCTTTGCCTTTTTTGATTAGGAAATAACTGGTTCTAGCTCTTCATCAACAATGCCTATGCCTAGAGTTAACTTGTCTGCAGAGGTATGTCTCTTTAGTAAAAAGGCCCCCAACGACCAATCAACTTCTTTATCACAAAGAGTAATACAACCATCTGAAATTATTCCACCTCTTCCATTGAATAACCTTAGCTCATTTTCTTCACAGTCATCAATTCCAATTGAGCTGCTTATCTTGCGAATAACTGAATGGTAAGAGTCATCCTTACTGAGCTGAACCTCATAAACAGCAGAAGACTTTGTGTAACCTCTCCACCCACATTCCATTCAGCAACAATTAATCTATAAATTAAATAATAATAAAATAACAGTAACTAAATGACTTGTTTGCACTTACCTCTAACTCATTTGTCCTCTTTCGTCTATCAGTTGAAAATGAATGCTTGTTCTTCTCCTGCAGAGCACGACCACGCCTTACTAAATCTATGACATATCACAGTAACTGCACTACAGCACTACCTCATTCATAACCTTTAGCAAGTCCTGATTCCTCAATAGCCATGGCTTTCTTGCATAGAGTTTCAGATATATTCATTAAAGTAGACACGAGTTCTTCTCTAGAACCATCTTCAACAGGCTCAGCCATTTTTCTCAAGTGCGCGCCACGTGGTAGATATATAGGCGTGGCGGCATTAAAGATCAACCTGATGTACATATGATATCGGAAAACGACAGACCCAACATCGGACAACAATGGACACGACATTGGGCCGCAATGGGCCCGACATCAGATTATACTTCAGGGCCACCATAGGTCCACTTTCACCATCACCACCATCAATTCCTCCGCCACCTCCAGTAGATAGAGGTACTCCATTAGATGCTGGCAGTCCACAAGTGCCTGAAGGCTCTCCACTGAGGTCCACCACTAGTGGCTGGACACATGCGCCGCTGACTGGACATCCTCCACTGCTAGCGGGAGGTCCGCCACCAGTGGCTGGAGGTCATCCCCCGCTGGCTGGTGGACCTCCACTGATGGCTGGTGGTTCTACAGCAGTGACTAGAGGCCCTTAACCAGTGGCTGGGGGTCCTTCACTGCTGGGTGAAAGGCTGCCACCACTTGCTGGGTCCTCCGCCACTTCGTCCAGCTGCTCCAACATCACATCCACCTGGAGCTGTAGGTGCTGGCTTTTTTCATGTTGCTGCTCTGCAACAGCAGAGGCAGGTAACCATATTGCTGTATTTAGTATAGTAATAGCATAAGAAAGTATGACGGGAAACTGTTTTCTGTGGATATACAAAATCTTAGATACCATAAATCACTTGCTATGTCACAAAGTACATCAATGTGATCAAATTTAAGAGATATATATGTAGCATAAATACCCAATACTGTACCAATAGCACCACTAATAAATCTTATTGTCGCATCAATATTACATTTTAGCATTACTCTACAGCCTACAGCTAATAACAATACAGTTCCTGAACCAGCTGCTTTATTTCTAAATTTCTCCTCGTTTTTTGTGAAATTTTGCTGTGCTGCAACTTTCATCAACAACATCTACACATGTTGATTCTATTTTCTCAGTTTATAGACTATCCAACATTAATTTCATTGATTTTTTGGCACACATGAACCTGCAAATTGGAGTTTTTCCTTCTCTTTTCAATTCCTTACATTTTTCCTGTATTAAAACTTAAAATACATGATTCATTAGTGTATCAATTGTTTCATCAGTGACACAGGCATGCCTAACAGATTCAAGCAATATAAACAATTTTTCTCCTTTTGTCGCTCATTTATTGTTAGTTCTTCATATTCTACTCTGTCTTTCTATATGTTAACTGCAGTTGGTGCTCCAAGTCTAGTTTTCACTAGTTTGTTGCTAATTTTATTAAACACTGGCCAACCAATAACTGGTGACATTTGTGACCCAATATGAGAAAACCAGGCTATCTGCGGGAATTATCAATTAGAGATATGGCTTCTTAAAGTTGTGACAGCGGTACCTTATGAAAACTAAGATTATACCAAAAATATATTGTATAAAGAATTTCCTGTCATTTGACACCAATTTTGCCCTAAAATAACTTGAAAGAGGTCATTTACAGACCTTTCTTCTTGTTGTGTACCATGTAAATAATGCAAGATATAATGATAAAAATGGCTGTAACTCAGTTTCATTCGTTTAGACTTCTTGTTGCATAAGTAAGCATAACTCAACACTAGATGTGTCAAATGACATGAAAAAAGGACCAAAAGATAGGAAAAACTTCGCTTAATTAAAAAAACCATAAATCTCAATTTTCAATTTTGGAGCATATAGCCTGGTTTTCTCATATCGGGTCACATTTGTTAAAAATCACCTACAAATAAAATATTGTTCCATTGCAACCATTCATCATTTCCAAATATATCTTCTAACCTAATGTATAAGTATGTACCATGGATTCAATAGATACCTCATCAACTAATATAAATATTAAACTTATAAGTGTCATTTTTCCTCTTCTGAGCTTCATTTCTTGAAGCCCAATATTCAGCTGTTTGTCCCTCTTGCTCTATTGGTAGCTTTAATCATTTATGTATTGTTATTCTGCCTACATTAAATGTGGCTATACCTGTTGGTGCTACTACAGAGCAAATAATTTCACCACATTTTGGTTGTCATATGTCATCCACTTGGCATTTTATTGCCTCATTTAGAAATGATTTACAAGATCCACCTGCACCACAAATAGATATTTGTAGCAGTTTACTATTTTGCAATCTAAGCAGTCTTGAAGACTCATTCTTTTTTACTTGTAAGATGACTCTTAATTTAATCAAAAATTCTTTATTGATCAACATCAAGCAATGCCTCTCTTTGCTCTAATTTAAATAAGGTACATTTACATGCATGTCAGCAATATCAGCTACTGCTTCTATTATTTCACAGAGTAATTGAGGCTCATCATGTTCCTTGTTATCAGAAAGTTCTGCAGTGCAACTGGCTTCATTTCTTGCATTGACTATTTTCTTCCAGTTATGTTTAGCTTCTAATAATTTTTGTACTTTTGTTGAAGTGATTTTCAATGCTGCACATAAATGCTTCTCTCTGATGCTAAAAAGCTCCTTCCTTTATAAGTGTGCTCTCATCTCTAAAAGCCACAACTCAAAGTACTAGCAAGTAATAGAAATCATCGCTTTCCACTTCTTTCATAGGATAAGCTTGGATGGACTGGCTTTGATTGAGGTATTTATTCTTTTTCGCTATTGTTTTCTATTATATCAAATTTGTAATCAGCAACAGTTTTGTGAAGAGATACATCTGACATGTTATTTGGTCTTAATCGCTAAAAGTCTTCAATTATGCGAGGATTAAAAATGTCTTTGGAAGATCGATCCATTACAGTTAAATATGAATAGTTCTTGATTTTTCTGCTACCCTTATAAAGTAAGTACAAATTAATGTAGTGTACAGTTACTAATTTGAACTTTCACTGAGAAGACAATCACTGCCTTCATATAGTCCTACTTTTGCTAGATATAATTTTTCTCTAATTTTCCATAGCCTGATGTACATGTTGTCACAGCTGCTCACTTCATCCCATAAGCACTGTGCATTACTCTTTTCTGCTTTAGTGACATATGCACTTACATACTCTATTAAAGAAAGACTCCTTTCAGCTATGTATAGTAAGTCAATATTTGCGCAACAATTTCTAAAGTAAAGGATTGTAGTTGTTGACTGGGAACTTCTTTTTACTTTCGTTTCAGATAATATACTTTATTGCTTGATTTGAAGCTATATTAAACATCTTTGATGGAAATACTATCT